TCCAGGCCTCCTGGGTTCACCTCCCAACACCCTATGTGACCGTGGACAAGTCACTGCATTGTGCTGTGCCTCAGTTTCCCCTCCTCACCCTGGGTCTGTCTTGTCTGTTTAGCCTGTGAGTTATGAGGGTGAGGGACTGGCTCCTACAGAGCTCAGCACCCCCATTGTGTGTGCGCTAATCTCAGTGACCCTGGAGAAAATCTGCAATGACCCCACTGACCCCAGTGCAGTCAGGGCTGGGTTCTGATCTCAGCGACCCCAACAAACGGTGTCTTTCTTGCCAGCAGCGCTCCACGTGCAATCACCGAGCTGTGAGTCAGAAATCCTGCACTTGCCCTTCTGCCTGCTTCTCCGCTGCCCGGCACCAAGCTGCCCTGACCCTTCCCTCAGGGCTGGGAGCACTTTGTAGGGAAAGGGAGGCGTGTATCGGAAATACCTCGCTCTCCCTTCACCCACAGGCCCTCTCTCATGCTGAGCTGGCTTGTGACAGCATCTCAGCTGGCAAATGATTGGCTGGTTTGGTGGCTTTCCACAGCCCCAGCTGTACACACACAGACACAGACTCTGCCAATTTGTATGACTCATTTAGGAAGTATGATGAAAGCCTGAATAGATCTCTGTGCATTCAAATCTGCTCTAACCCGCCAGACCCCACTCCCCTCCCAGAGCCAGGGGGAGAACCCAGGAGTCCTGGCTCCCACCATCCCCAACCCACCAGCACCCACTCCCCTTCCAGAGCTGGGAGAGAACCCAGGAGTCCTGGCTCCCAGCCCCCCCTGCTCTAACCCACCAGACCCCACTCCCCTCCCAGAGCCAGGGGGAGAACCCAGGAGTCCTGGCTCCCAGCCCCCCTGCTCTAACCCACTAACCTTAAGTACTCAAAGGAAATACTATCCCTAAATACCCGCATAGCCTGTGGAAGTCATTGGCACAGGATGTGAGTCAGGATTCAGAACAAGATCTTCACGTGGAGAATGGGAAATGCCAGAGTTATACTCCTAAGGGTTTAAAACAAATATGTTTGGAAGGGGTGTAAATGTCATGCTCCAGGGCTTAAGCCCACACTTTCCTTGACTTTCTTCTTGTTGCTAACATACCTGAAGAAACCCTTCTTGTTACTCTACATCCTCTCCAGCTCTGGGAGGGGAGTGAGGTCTAGAGGGTTAGAGCAGATTCGAATGCACAGAGATCTATCCAGGCTTTCATTATATTTAATAAATGAGCCGTACAAATTGGCAGAGTCCATATGTGTGTCTGTATGTGTACAGGTGGGGGCATGGAAAACTGAGACGCTGTAATGAGCCAGCCAGGTGAGGGGAGAGCCACACATTTCCCATTTGCACCTCCGTTTCCCTACAAAGCACATCCCATCCCATGATGTCGGGAGGGGACGGGCATTGTGATGCCAGACAGCGGAGAAGCAGCCAGAAGGGCAAGCGCAAGATTTCTGACTAACAGGTCAGTGATTGAAAGTGGAGTGTGGGGGGGCAAATTCCTCAGTCGCTGCTGGCAAGAAAGACACGGCTCGGCTCATTAGGGTCACTGAGACCAGAACCCAGCCCTGACTCCACTAGCGTCAGACGGGTCACTCCGCATTTTCTCCAGGCCCACTGAGATTAGCACACACACAATGAGGGCCTTGATCTCTGTAGGAATCAGTCCCTCGCCCTCATAACTCACAGTCCAAACAGACAAGACAGACCCAAGGTGAGGAAGGGAAACTGAGGCACAGCATGATTGAGTGATTTGCCCACCGTCACACAGGGTGTTGGGAGGTGAACCCAGGAGTCCTGGAATCCCTCCCCGGGCCATAGACACAATAGCATTCCCCTGTTCTCCAACACCCAACCTGACTGATGTGTCTCTGAGGGTGGTGTGGAATAAGTAGATTCTGCAGCAACGCAGCCTTCATTTCACAAATTAATTCTGTAGCCCTCAAGGCTGCAAAGAAAGCCATCCAACCAGTGTGACGCGCACTAACATCTGCAGAGAGCCTGATACAACAACTCTGAGCAGAGAAAACTGGCTGCATTTGTCTCCATGGGCTCATTCACACTTGAAACTAACGATGTCACTTGCTGGCACATCAGTGTACCTTGACCTACTGATTGTTTGAGTGGATGAGGCAAGAGAAGGGGATGGAGGTGATACCCATGTGGGGTGGGACAATTGGGAGTGGACACGGAGAGACCGAACAAGGATTCAGGTCTATAGTTTAACTCCTGTTGATTCTGAAACCTAATGATAACCTTTTAAATGTCAGTTTTTACCCTCTCATTGCTGGTGGTTTCAGCAGAGGGGTGAGTGAACAGGGTGGGGAGTGGTGCCCATGTGGGGTGGGGGGCAACTGGGAGCTGACACAGGGAAGCGTCATATCTATCATATCCCCCACCGCTGACACTGGAGTCTAATGATGACATGTAACAATAGCAGTTGTTACTATTCCCCGCCTGATCATGTTAGTGGGGGTGAAAGTGGACCCACTGGGGGAGGGGAACTGGGAGCTGCTATAGGGACAGGGGGGCGCGGATTCAGCCCCAAAATTCAACCCAATTTAATTCTGCAGCCCAAGGAGGATGCTTGAAATCATGAGTGCCAGTAATTTTTTTATTAGGGTAGCATGGAGACCCCAGCCGTGATCAGGGTCCACGCCAGGCCAGGCACTGCACAGATGCCTGCAACAAGATCAGGGCACTAGTTCATCTTCTCTGCTCCATCCCATAGCCCAGGGCAGAGGATTCCCCTGGCTCCCCCTGTCCTGAGCCCAGGAACGGGTGTTTGGCTGAAGCAGCTGTTCTACCAGGCTGGAGGGGACCCCACTAGAGCCCTGAGCAGGACTATTTTTTAAATCTCTCCCTGCAATACCCACGCCCACTCGAGGGCTGCCAACTCGGACCAGGCACTATTTGTGGCAATGGTCCAACCCAGTTGGCAACCCAATCGCACTCCCGCACTGTTCCCTGCATTTGTATCCTGCTCTCACCCACAAAAACCTGACATCGGGCAAATCCTGCAAGAGAGACAGATTTCCCCATGCTGAAAGAAAGAAAGAAAGAAAGAAAGAAAGAAAGAAAGAAAGAGTTAATATATTATAAACACAATTCAGACACAATTTTTACCACTAAAAGAATAAAACAAATTTTGCTTAAACCCTGTAAAACACTACTTTAAGTCCTGTTGGAATAGACATCAAATCTCTTTTCTATCCCTTGCTTAAATGTAAGTATTAAAAGCTTTATTTTTAAAATAGGGAAAAACTTGCTTTACGGTGCTGAAATTCTGTTTGTGACACACGGCTGTCAGGTGTAGTTCACACGGAATGTGAACCAAATTGCACCACAATTTTGCCATAAAAGGTGCAGATGGTTTTTTAATGGTTATAAAAAGTAAGTTGTTTAAAAAAAACTGGATTATTTTTAACCTGCTTCAGCACTGTTTTTAGGACTTTGAAACTTCCCAGTCCAGTTAAGCGTATGTCGGGGTCATTCATGCTTTTTGAAAACCATTGGGTGGAAAAACTGCTCGCAAAACTGCGTGCAAACTGCCACACCTGTGCCTCTGATGAAGTTGTCTATAACCCACGAAAGCTTATGCCCAAATAAACGTGTTAGTCTCTAAGGTGCCACAGGACTCCTCGTTGTTTTTACACCTGTATTCGAGCAACAAAATCTGGGAGTGTGATTCTCTGATCTGACTTGAGCCCGCACACTACCCCAGATCCGGAGTAGGGTGACCAGATGTCCCGATTTTATAGGGACAGTCCCGATTTTTGGGTCTTTTTCTTATATAGGCTCCTATTACCCCCCACCCCCTGTCCTAATTTTTCGCATTTGCTGACTGGTCACCCTAATCCGGCGTGAGAGAGAGAAATATGTATGGGAAAGCCAAGCTCAAAGAAACTAAGTAGCAACTTCCCAACAAGGAAAAACAAGGAGTCCTTGTGGCATCTTAGAGAGACTAACAAATGTATTTGGGCACCAGCTTTCGTGGGCTGGAACCCACTTCATGGGACGCCTGGAGTGAAAATGACAGCCGGCAGGTATAAATATAGGAACACATGGAAAGATGGGCTACTTTGGGTAAATTAAGATTTAGTATCTCCCAGCAAATTCCCACAGTCTGGGTGGGTTTTTTTTCTTTTTTCTCCACCTGATCAACCCAATACACTGACTCCACCTGCTCCTGCTAATATGACGGCAGGTCCTGGGGGACTCATAGGATCCCAATCCCACTGCAGGGTTCAACTCCGCCAGAGAGGGGACCCCCGCCCTGCTGGAGGGGGGAGGGCTCAGCTCAGGGGGCTGGCAGTGGCCGGAGGAGCCGGACAAATCAGCGGCCCCGGCCTGCGCCCAGTTCCGGTTTCACTTTCGTTTCCTTGGCGCGGTCTAAACAAAGAAAGCTCGAGGGCGGGCGCGCCGCTCAGCTGCTGGAGAGAAGGGGCCGCTACTTCCCCTGGGCTGCGAGCTTCCGCCAGCAGTGCCCGCTGGGGTGCGGGCTCTGGGGCTGGAGCGGGGCCAGGGAACCCGGGGGGAGGAGGAGCGTCTTGGAAAAGTCCCAAACCAGCCCACTCCTGCATGGGACCCTCCTCACCCTGCCCCCCCCCCCGTTACCCTATGGACAGAGGCACCCCAGTGCGGCGCTAGGGGGCGCTGTGCTGCAGGCGGTGGGGGCTTAGTAGGGGGTGCGCTCCCCCTGGGAGTCAGAGCTGGCCCCAGTGCAGAGCTAGGGGGCATGTGCTGAGGGGGGGGTCAATAGAGGGTGCCGTCCCCCGGCAGTCAGGGCTGGCCCCAGTGCGGCGCTAGGGGGCGCTGTGCTGCAGGGAGCAGGGCAAGGGCTCAGTAGGGGGCGCTCTCCCCTAGCAGTCAGGGCTGGCCCCAGTACCCCCGTGTGGTGCTAGGGGAGGCAGTGCTGCAGTGGATGAGTTGCGTGTGGTTTTTACAAACACAATCTGAAGTTGTTTCTCTCCAAATCCCTTGTCCAGCCCCGGGGAGCTGGGCCCAATGGCCTTTGAGACGATCCGCCGGGGACGGGAGCGACTCATCGCCCTCCTTCTCACCACCCCCGACCCCATCTTGGACGAAGTGGCCTCGCTGGGGATAGTCACCGAGGAGGAGTACGAGGCCTTGGAGAAGCTCTCGGAGCCCAGGGAGAGGATCCGAAGGCTGCTGATAAAGATCCAGAGGAAGGGGGAGCGTGGCTGTGAGCAGTTCCTGGAGTGTCTGCAGAGCCTCTTCCCAGACTTCCCGCCGGATTTACAGCCCCCAGGACGCCGTGAGTTGGGGCTTTCTGAGTCAGTTCAGTTCTTGGCAGGATTCCATAGAAGAGACATAAAATGTAGCCAGGAGATATTGTGACATGGCTGAGTATTGGTGATGGGTTGGACTAATGGTTAGAACAGGGGGGCCTGGGAGTCAGGACTCCTGGGTTCTATCCCTGGCACTCAGTGGGGCTTTCCAAAGAGACCGACCTCAGCATGTCTGTAACATTCCTTGAAACCTGAGGATTTAGCCCCAAACCTGACCCCCCGCTCCCCAAAAAAACTTGTCGTCACCACCACCTCTCCCATGTAACACCCTTTTGCCATAGACCACAGGAGTTCTCTCTCTGTTTTTAACCTTTTCCCGCACTGCTGAGCTAACTAAAATGCAGGGCAGCAGCCGGCAGCCTCAGGAGAACAGCCGAGGGCTGAACTGGCCACAGAGACGCCCTCTCCCCTCCTCTCTCGCCCAAGGAAGTGCCCGGAATGGTGAAGAAATCTGTAAGGTGCGGAGGAGGCATCTATTTGTTTTCCCTTTGTAGGGTACGTAACTCAGACAAATGATGCAGAGAATCCAGAAGGTGGCACGTCCTCCGAGAAGAATGGACAAGAAAATCTAGAAGCTGCTGTACCCTCAGGGAAGAATGATCTAGAGAATCCAGAAAGCGCTGTACTGCATGGGGTGAATGATCTAGGGTATCCAGCCAGTCGCCCATCCTCAGGGGACTTTGATCCAATGAACCCAGAAGATGCCATGTGCTCAGAGAAGAATGATCCAGAGAAGCCGGAAGCCCCTGAGAAGCCGGAAGCCGTGCCATCCTCACAGAAGGGACCGGTAACACCAAATTCTGCCACATCCCCAATGAAGAACGGACCAGAAAACCCAGAAACTGCTTTACCCTCAAAGAACGATCCAGAGAGTCCAGTGGGTGCCAGATCCTCAGAGAAAGATGCAGCTGCTGAGTCCTCGGAGAGAGCAGATTTTGAAGGTACAGGACGGGTCTCTCGACTTGCGCTGTAGGGCAATGCTTAAGAAGTGTTTATGGCTGTCCTGCGCTGGGCACAGGATCCCAGGCGGGTTCTCCTCAGGTCCGGATGGAGAGGGACAGAGGGAAAGCTGTACTAGATTTCAGATGTAGGAAGGGTCTAGTTCCTGTGTTTGGACCCCTGGCAAGAGCAGAAAGTGCTTGTGCATGTAAGGAAACAATTGCTTGTGGACATCCGGGGGAGGAGAGGAGGTTAACTCAACCACGAACCCCACCTCACACAGCTTAGTACCTTGAGCTCAAGTTCAGCAGCTCCAGCAACAACCTCGGTTCTTCCTCTATCATTTCAGCTGGAGCTAACGTAGGACTCCAGGTAGTCTGGAGTTCTCAAGGGGGTTCATGAGATGGAGCAAGAATCTAAGGCTGCCCCTTGAAACCCTAGGCTGGACAAAGTCTATGGCCCAGATCTGTAGGCTCCTAACTTCCATTGATGTGAGCCTAAATGAATTACACTTGTATTGCTTTTAGAATGTGGAAATATCCCCAGCTGTGGAGAAGAAGAAAAGACTGCTGCAATAAAAGGGAATTTTGAAGGTAAGGTCTCTGCCAATCTGACCTGGGGGGAAATTTCTTCCTGACCACAAATACGGTGATCGGTGAGACCCACCAGCCAGACACCTGGGTAAGAATTCTCTGTAGTAACTCAGAGCCCTCCCCATCTAGTGTCCCATCTCCGGCCATTGGGGATATTTGCTACATTTGGGCTAAATGCCATTGTAGGCAGTCCCATCATACCATCCCCTCCATAAACTTATCAAGCTCAGTCTTGAAGCCAGTTAGGTTTTTTGCCCCCACTGCTCCCCTTGGAAGACTGTTCCAGACTTTCACTCCTCTGATGGTTAGAAACCTGCATCTAATTTCAAGCCTAAACTTGTTGATGGCCAGTTTATATCCATTTGTTCTTGTCTACATTGGTGCTTATCTTAAATAACTCCTCCCTCTCCCTGGTGTTTATCCCTCTGATGTATTTATAGAGAGCAGTCATATCTCCCCTCAGCCTTCTTTTGGTTAGGCCAAGCTCTTTGAGTCTCCTTCAATAAGTCAGGTTTTCCATACCTGTGATCACCCTAGTAGCCCTTCTCTGCACCTGTTCCAGTTTGAATTCATCTTCCTTAAATATGGGAGACCAGAACTGCAGCAGTGTTCCAGATGAGGTCTCACCAGTGCCTTGTATAATGACAGTAACACTTCTCTGTCTCTACTGGAAGTACCTTGCCTGATGCATCCTAGGATTGTATTAGCCTCTTTCACGGCCGCATCACCTTGGCGGCTCATAGTCATCCCGTGATTGACCAACACAACCAGGTCTTTCTCCTCCTCCGTCACTTCCAACTGATACGTCCCCAGTTTATAGCAAAATTCTTATTAGTCCCTAAGTGCATAACCTTGCATGTTGCACTATTAAATTTCATCCCATTTCTATCTCTCCAGTTTTCAAGGTCATCCAGATCTTCTTATATGATGTCCCAGTCCTCTTCCTTATGGGCAATACCTCCCAACTTTTGTGTGAGCTGCAAATTTGATTAGCACACTCCCACCTTTTGTGCCAAGGTCAGTAATAAAAATCTGAAATAAGATTGGCCCCGAGACCGATCCCTGAGGAACTCCACTAGTAACCTCCCTCCAGCCTGACAGTTCATCTTTCCCTATGACCCGTTGTAGTCTCCCCTTTAACCAGTTCCTTATCCATCTCTCAATTTTCATATTAATCCCCAACTTCTTCAATTTAACTGATCATTTCCCACATGGAAATGTAACAAACATCAGACTGAAATCCAGGTAGATTAGCTCTACGGCATTTCCTTTGTCTAAAAAAAAAAAAATCAATCATCGCAAAGAAAGCGATCAGGTTGGTCTGGCACCATCTGCTTTTTGTGAAACGAGGTTGTATTTCATCCCAATTCCCGTTTGTCTCTATGTCCTTAACTACTTCCTCTTCCAAAATTTGTTCCAAGACCCTGCATACAGTTGAGGACGAACGAAGAAGCCTGTAGTTTCCTGGATCACTTTTTTTCCCTTTCTTAACAATAGGTATTACATTAGCAAGCCTCCAATCATAGGGTATGACCCCCACATTTAGAGATTCATTAAAAATCTTTGCAATTTCAGGTGCCAATGCCTTTAATATTCTTGGATGGAGATTATCCGCCCCCTCTCTTTCTCCCCTCCCCACCCCCAATTTAGTCCCATTAAACTGTTTAAGTTTGACTTCCATCTCAGACGTGGTAATTTCAATTTCCATTTCCTCATTCCAATTAGCCACCCTGTCAATACCCCTAAACACCTCGTTACCCTTATTAAAAATAGAGGCAAAGTATTCTTGTAGTTGTGGGGTTTATTTTAGATTATCTTTAATCTCCATCCCATCCTTAGTTCTTATCAGTCCTACTTCTTTCCTTGTTTTCTTTTATTTATGTGGCTAGAACCTTTTCATTATTGGCTTTAATTCCCTTTCAGAGCTCCAACTCTACTTGTGGCAGTTCTCGCTTTATCCCTATGCTTTCTGACCTCCAGGAGGCAGCTTTCCTTGCTGATCCATCCCATCTTCCATTCCTTGTTGGCTTTCTGTTTTCTTTTCATTACCTGTTTGACACGCTTGTTCTGCAGCTTGGTCTGCAACCCTTCTCTATGATTTTTTTCCCCTTGCTTCGGATGCAGGCTCCAGATCATTTTGTAAGTTTGACTTAAAGTAATTCCAAACCTCCTCCGCGTTCAGATCCTTAAGTTCTTTGGTCCAGTCCACTCCCCTAAAAAATTCCCTTCATTTTTTAAAGTGAGCGCTTTTGAAATCAAGGACCCTAGTTGCAAATCTATTTTTGTTTATCCTTCCATTTAGGTTGAAACTGAATTAGCTCATGATCATTCCAACCAAGGTTGTCCCCTACGACCAGCTCTTCTAGGAGGTCCTCACTACTCACCAAAACTAAACCTAAAATGGCATCCCCTCTTGTCGGTTCGGTGACTATCAGCTGTCACATCCAGGAAAATCTAGGCCCTGCTATCATTAATAGCTCTTGTCCTCCATTCTATATCTGGGAAATTAAAGTCTCAAATACTACTGGGAATTGTGTGATTATTGATTTCATTAAAAACATTAAAGAGGTCGCTATCCCTGTCCAGATCGGATCCTGGGGGTCTGTAGCAGACCCCAATCACTATCCAGGGGCAGCTTCTGGGAGTTTTGTTCCTTAAAGTGATTTTAGCTGAAATAGACTCTGTCGTATCCATTCCAGCACTTCTGATTTCTTCAGTCTTCCTCATCATTAGCATACAGTGCTACTCCACCACCTTTACCTTTATTTCTGTCTTTCCTGCACAGCACATAGGCTTCAATACCCGCACTCCGGTCATGATTACTAGTCTACCATGTTTGTTATCCTTATTATATCTGGTTTCACTTCCTGCACCTGTAGTTCTAGATCCTCCACTTTGTTACCCAGACTCCTTGCACTGGTGTACAGACATCTCAGTTGTTTCTGCGTGGCTTTGCCCAGATTCCTCACCCGATTGGGTACTGTCATTCTACTGCCAGTGTCGCTGACCTGCCTAGCAGCGTCATTGGTATCGGCACTGTCTTTCCTCTTCATGTCCATTCTCCTACCCACTGCCTGAGCCATCTGTTGATCATCATAATTGTGTCTTGCCTTCCCTCTCCTCCTCTAGGGACAGGTAGAATCCCACTGAAAATTACCTGAGCCTCCATTTCTTTACATGTCTTCCCCAGCCTGGCGCCGTCTCCCTTGATGTGTTCCAACGAGAATCCAGCCACAGTATCATTTGTTCCCACTTGAAGGACAGTCAGTGGATTCTTTCCTGCTCCCATTAGGATACTCTTCGGCCTCAGGTCCGCATCTTGTATCTTAACTCCCGGCAGACAGCACACCCCTCTTCTCTCAGAATCAGCTCAGGTGACAGGCCTGTCTGTTCTTAGAAGGGAGTCACCCACCACGTAGACCTGCCTCTTCCTGTTGTTTATGTGATTCTCCAGCCTTCCCCATCTGTTCTTTCTGGCTGCAAGTCCTCTTGTCTCTTGTTCTCTCTTGCAATGTTCTGTGCGTCATCCTCTGTCCTCCTGGGCTCCAAACTCTGGCTATCTCCATTGACTCTTCCCTTCTTCATGTAGGACGAGCAAGTTCTTTTCTTCTTGCTTGTTCTCCCACCATCTGTTGCTGCCCGCTGTGCCCCTTCTTCATCTTCCAACTCGGGGAAACCTGGTCCCGAGCTCTCATTCGCCTTCACTAGCTGGTCTTTTCCTCTGCCTGGTTCTCGTAGTCACATGCTTCCATTGGCCACTTTCCTCATCTAGCAGCCTCCCCTCACAGTTCTCCAGTCCAGCTTCCATCTGCTGGTCTTGACTTTTCCCTTCAGCCTTCCCTCCATCATCTGCTCAAATCCCCTTCGAAACTCAACCAAAGTTTCCACCTGCATCTCCAAACCTTGGGTCTTCTCTTCCATCAGCTCCCTCAGGCAGCACTTCATACACATGAAACTCTTTTTGGGCACCCGCTCCCGGATAATGTGCATCCCACAGCTTCCTCATCCAGTCATCTCAACTGACTCTTCCATTCCTTGGGTCACTCCACCGCTGCCTCTATATATATGTCATAACCTTCTCACCTAAGCTCCTATCAAGGAAAAACAAAACACAAACCCACCCAAACAAGCAACAAAATGAAACCAGAACACGACACTGAGGACACAGGGGCACTGGGAAGGTCTAGGGCAGTGGTTCTCAATCAGGAGGACGCATACCCCTGGGGGTACACAGAGGTCTTCCAGGGGATACTCAACTGCTCTAGCTCAGTGTTTCTTAACCTGGAGGGTCCTGGGACAGGTTTAGGGAGATCACAAGTGCAGGGCCGGCATTAGGGGGTGTCAAGCAAGGCAATTGCCTGGGGTCCCGCGCCATAGGAGCCCCACAAAGCAAAGTTACATGCTTCAGCCCTGCTGTCTGGAGATGTGCTGCGACACTTTT